CTCTCATTGTCGAGCTAAAGCCTTTTGAAGCATTTGAGCCACTAGGTCGGGAGTGATTGTGAATGACTCTCTTGCTTCCCCTATGTTAGATATTGTATCGTTGGAGGCGATTGTCAAGCAAGTATCATACAGTTCGTCTTTCGAAGCAGTCCTTCATGCATCCTCTGGTAATCCCTATGTCCGATGGTTTCTAGCTGGAGCCGAGATATTCGTTGGGCTATCCCTGAATTGACTTTTCTTCCAGGAGAAAAGTCGAGATTACAGCCGTTTGAAGCAATCGCAGACTTCTTTTGTCAACCATGTTGATGGTGATTTCAGGGAATTCATCATTCTGGACGGTGGATTCTCTCATGGAAACGTCTTGGCTTGGGTTTTGAAGCTTCGGTGAAAAGTTTTTCAAATACTGAGACCCTTTGTGAAATGATCCTGGGGCAGCTACATTTTGCTAATACTGCCCTGATAGATCACCCGCATGGACAATGAAAGCTGGTTTCTCAGACACCCTCTTTTTGGGATTTGTTCACACCCCCAGCCTGATGGTGCAGCTCATTGGAGTAATCTATCGCTTGGTGTGATGTCCCAAATATAACATTGTCTTTTGACGGACACGTCTTCTTTTGGGGATGAAGAACCTTGTTAATATTCTCGGGACGATTTGTTGTCGTCTTTGAACGATCACGAGTTACACGTTTAGGGCCACCCCCTTGCGAGCGTGGAACCTTAACGGGCTCCTGGGTTTCAATACGAACCCCCAGGCGATCGATGTTAGGAGTCCTCTTGTGCAAGGCACATGAACATGTACAATGAGGTGCTCTGGTTTGTTTGGAGGCGGCTGGACACCTTTGAGCGGTCTTTAGCTTGACGAGAGTGTTTGTACGACCCCCAGCTTGAGGAACTACTCGGGTTTTGTTCACAGGAGTTTTGTCTCGATCTTTGTCCGAAGGACCAAGACGGTCCGCTATCGTAGCCTTAAATTTCGACAGGTCAACACTGCTGTGAGACTTCTCCGGAGGTACGGGATCAACTGAAACAGGAACGAGGTTTGACGGAAGCGGAGAAACGGCTACGGGAGGCAAATTAGGCGCGAGACACCTTGAGATGACTCGGGCTTGGCGCGAGTCACCCTGAACTGGCTCGGGACTTCTGATCTTTTCGGCCACTGTCGGAGTTATTTTTTGTGCCGTTTTGGACTTTGGTCTCCAGACTTGGCGTGGTCTTGGTGGTTTTTTGGTCACCTCTTCCTTCTTCGTGCCTTGTGTCTTTCACAAAAGGGTGCGAGCATGTGCGGCACGTGCACGACGCCTTTAGATACGTTCTTTCTGGGTTGAACGATTCCTTTTGACAAGGATCCATTCTTCCGTCGATGGCTTGGAGGATTTGTCAGCCACTGTTGAAGTGATTCGGTTGCTTGATGTCTCCTGGACTCCAAGTTTGCGTAATATCGAACCTCGTCGACTTGTTCCAATGCCTTGGCGATTTGACGAGCTTGACGTTGGCGTCGCTTCTGACGAGCTCTCTTCGTCAGAGTTGGCGTACTTTGATTAGATAACTCCTTAATTGGAGAGGAGTCACTTGTAGCCTTCATCAGTGAGTACACCTCCTTCAAAGATAATATATTTCTACATTTGCAGGGAGTAGGATTTTGATGAAGACGAGGAGAAATATTCCTCGAACTCAGTTTCGTCGAACTCGTACTCAACCACCGAATCAACCGGGATCTTAATCTTCGGTTACGATATGACAGTCTCTGTAACGAGACTGTTGACTCCCACTATGGTCGTCAGTGTGTTTGCGTCGAAAGTTAGTTTATTCATGGAACTCATTACAACTTCAATCGTTTACAACAAGTTCAAAAGAGTTAGTCTTTTTATAAGACTTTTCTTACACGAATAAAAAAATAAAAATACAACTCTCTAGAAACACACGCAGAGGACGTTTATCACCCGGGGATGCATTAGTCCGTGGACCGTCGCGGATCAGATCCGGTTGACAGAACGAGAATTCAATGTTCTTGCTTCACAAAGAAAACAATTGCAGAAGTGATAATCTCAACGGAGTGAGATTACGACTCTTATCGAGATCAAAACCAAGTTTGATCTCAAGGAATGGTGGAACGAGCTTCAGATCTCTCGAAATCCACTATTTATGCACATGAATTTGTCAAGATCTCGCTAGCCTCGCTCAAATTCGTCAGAACCTCGTACTAGCTCCTCTGAAATTCGTGGCTCCCTTCAGATCTGTCTTTATGAGGGTGCTAGGGGTGTATTTATAGATTTTAAATGTCGGGTTGTGGATAGGATGAAGAACAACCGTTATTATCCATTTAGGTGGGTTTTCGGTTGTGTAACAGTTTCCACACGTTTAAGGATAACCCCACATGTTTATGGATGACCCTAAGGAGTTCTAGAAGCCAATCTTATCAGAAAACACATCGGGAGATGACCTGGGCGCGAGTCACTTCGAAGTGACTTGGAATTTCCGAGTCACTTTGAGGTGACTCGGATTCTCCGAGATAGTTTGTACCGTTTTCGGTATTTTGACTTTAATTCTCTCGTCCGACCTCGGAATGAAGTGATTCAAGATGCGTTAGAAAGCTGACGAAGAGAGCTATAAATTTGTCTTTTGAGATTTTTCAGATTCAAATCTCATGATGGTTAAAATTTTACTTCTTCGTGCGGATCACTCTAGCATGACCCGCACGTGTGCAAGCCACCTTGAGCCATCTTGATTGTATTTGCTTCGTCGTTTCACACATTTTGACGTTTCACGTGCGTTCTTTCGCTTCTTTTTACAGCATCAGATGATTTTCTTTGACTTGGATAATCCTCTCTGACTCGGATAATAGTGTTCATCGTCTTCTCTCTGTTTCGAACTATGTGCGGGAACGTATATGTAATTTTTGACGCCTACAATTAATGTCAGTAGGGTCTTGTAATGTCAGGACGAATATGAACATCCCCCACCCCCACCCCCACTCTTACATTCATCTCTTTTAATGTTAGGTTTCATTAACACATGCTTTGTTCAGTTGTTGCAACTTTAATTATCTGGTAACTCCTTATTAATAAAGTTCATATTCTCTTCAAAGTTAATCAAGTTTAAGTGTGAGTTCCCTTCATGTCATTCTATTGATTCACAGAAATTTCAATGGAAGAGGAATTGAGTTGACGTTATTTTGATTTTGCAGGGCAATATGTTAATATTTCAAAATTTGGTTTCATTATTTCTTTTACTTGAACAATACAACTATTTTAAATGTTTAAATGAAATTGCAGCACTTAATGAGAGGAAACTTTCCTGAATGTGAAGCAACACTTAGTTGCATTGTGATATCTTAATTGCACACAACCCACCACACACACACACAAACACACTATAAGCTAATCAGTTTAGATGGAGATGATAATATTTTGGATCTGTAATGCTTGGAAGGAAGTTTGATGACTTAGTAGGTTCTATTTCTATATTACACTCATATAAGGATCTGTCCCTATGTTACTTTTGACGAAATCAAGTGAGAATTTTATTTTGGTCATAATTTCAATTTTTTATTCACTTTAGATTTAAAAAAAATTATGGATGGTGATGATTTCCTCTATATTAGGTGCTGTTATGTTTTTCTAACAGCATAAATTCAATAAGAAATGGCTTTTATTCGACAATACTTGATATAGAATTTAAATACATGGAGATTGATATCATGACTCTTAGACTTCAGAAGCTGTTTAATTTTCTGACATTTTCTTTTCTTGTGTTGAGATGCATTGGGATATATCTTTCTCTATTAACATGTCATGTTAAGGGAAGATGATATGGGTTTTATTCTATCAGACTTCCTGTTTTTGCCTGTCTTTAATACTTACTGAACATGGTAATAAGCCAAACTGGATAATAAAGAATCTTTGAAATGATGAATTTTTTTTATCACAAAGAGCATTCTGATGAACAGTGGGATTCAATAATTCTAAAGAATACTGCAATATGTTTTTACTAGTCTCTGGGTATTTCCTTGAGGAAAATTACATTATAGTTACTGAGTCCTCCATACATGAAGTCTCTTTCATTCTAGTTACAAGCAAAGAACACTTCAGTTTAGAATTATTTACATAATTTAAATATTTAAAACTTCAGCCTAGTTCAGATAATGGCCTGGAATGACACACTAATACTAGGCTGGAGTGTCAGTGATGTGGCACGATCCACGACTGTCGATCTCCAGATCATCTTCCTATATTTTGGAGTTGGAGGTTTGGATTGCTCCATGTTGGAAAAGACACCAGCCAAGAACTGGTGTGTTACTCTAGACCGACTTTCGTACATACTTACAATACACATTGGGTTTAACTAATTTAATTACACACCTATGAACATACGTGTTTGACATCAATCTTAATGATCCTCACTGTTCATTAAGATCTATATACATTATATAATTTATTGAGATCAAATATCACATTATGTGTTTGTAGTCTATACATGTCGTGGAAATATATATCTATAGCGGCCCAAAAAATCAGTTACCTTGAGTTGCAAGAATTATAGGATAGAAAACTCCAAATCACGTGATTTTCGATCCACTTGGATTTGGTGGCATGTAGATAACAATGGATGGTTCAAATTAACATTATAGACAAGCGAATTGTATTTTTGTAGGTGTGTGTAACTAAGTTAGTTACACTTACACCTTATGTGTATTGTAAGTTTGTAACCCTACTGATAGACGCACACACATTTATTATGGGCATGTACATGTGTGTGTACATGTGCACGCATTCGAACACACTAGTTTGATTTCTGACATGTCTTTGATTCTTTGAGTTCTCACTATTTTCCCCGTACCTTATAGACATCAATATATTCCTTTTTCATGTTACGAATTCATATTGCTTTCAAGCGTTATAACCCTATCTTGTATGTATTAACTCTTTTTCCTGATAATTCATATAGTTATTATTTTTAATCGTTATTTTGTTGTTTAACTGCATGATATTGTTTTGCAGATGCACGCAGTAGTGATACTCTATAATTATTATCTCCAAAAGCAGTTCCCAAAACTTGAGGTTCTTGGTTTTAAAACCTTATGCAAAGTTTCCTGTACCGCCCAACCAGGGCTATCAGTGTACATGAGATATATGCATATATCTCGAGAGGATGCTGAAAGTCCTAGCAGCATGCTTTCGATCACTGAGAAGTCGGTCATCAGTGCTTGCAATATTTGTATAGGGTTAGATACATCAAAGGATGCTCCAGATATAGAGACATGGCCGGTTTCCAAAATTGCTGTTTTTCTAGTTGATCCTACAGAAGAGAAATGCATGCTTCAATTCTCTGCTACTATTCAGGGAGTCTGGTCATTAGTGGAAAAGGATATTGACGCAAGCAGTGATACGTCGGAAGGGGGAGTTCAGATGAACAAAATACATAAAATGGCTTCAAAAGGGTCCTTACAGAATGAACCTCATCAGTCTGAAGAGGTACTTGAGCAGTTAGCATATTCTGCTGCAGGGGAAATAGCAGGTGATACACTTTCCTCAATTATTTGAGTGAAATATTTTTTTATATATTAATCTCATTTTCCTTCCCCCTTTTATTCCACTCAAGTAACATGTTAGTATTTCAAAGTTATGGATGTGGATTCCTTTCGAATTATCAGAATATCCAGGAATTGAATTTGCGAAAGGGTAAAAAGAAAAGAATTTGTTAACATAGAAGAAAATTCCACCATAGAAATTACAGGTTGCCTGTCTTGGGTAAAAATATCATCTTGCTTAGAAATTGGGCATAGAGTGGTCTGTACGCGGTGGTAAGCAATTAGTTTCAAATAAGATAATGAATTATTTTTACAACAAGGTTTGGTAGTCGAATTTGATGTTGATTTAACTCGGTCAATTTTCTTAACAAAGTTTTAACTGTAAAGTGAGTAGCAGAATTCTGCCAAGTCAGTATTTTGGCAGCCTATGTTGCATGGAAACGGGTACGGGTATGGGTACTGGTACGGGTACGGAACATGGCAAATTTGTAAAATATAGAGTACGAGGACACGACTACATATATGTATTAAAGTTAATAAATCTGCATGAGATTTTAAATTCACGTGTTACTAGAATTAAAAGTGTTATTAGAATTAGAAGTCCTATCACATTTATAGGTTCTTGTATTATGTTGATTATTATAAATTAGAAACTGCTCGTATTTTAATTAGACACTCAAGCGACTATCTTAAATCATAGTTAACTTGGGTATCACCGCATGGACTGAATAAAACCTGACCCATATCTAACTAGTTTCAAGAAATAGATATAAAGTGTAGGATATACATCCAAGAAGAGTATTGCAAGTGTTTTAAATTAAACTATATATCATGTAATTGAGCACATGTCCGCATGAATTTATGTATATATCAAGGAGTGTCCATGAAATTTGGGTACGGGAAAGTGTCAGGCATAGTTACATAGTTCGCAGTACATAGCGGGTCGTCGTATGAATTCGGGTACGCAATTCGAGACTTTGAAAATTTGGATTCAACATGGGGTAGCTTGCTTCGATACGCAAGTTCGATATAGGATACGATGTAATTATTTTTGGGGATGCTTATCATTTTTCAAAGTGTATAGTAGGAAATTAGAAACTAGAAAACTAATTATGCATTTCAATGTTTCTTTCATACAAAATACTTAACTACTTCATTTTTATAGTTTCTGAATACATACAACTTAAAATATTAAATATTAGACAGCCTCTTAATAATTTTTTTTATTTTGTAACTTTCTTTCCCTTAACATCAAATGCATCTTATGCTAATTCCGAGTCCAAATAATTCCATCTCTTCTAACTTACTTGAAGAGTCCTCCAAGTTATCATTATTGGGATCCATATCCCATCCTTTATATGGACCAACTTTGTAATTCTCACAAAATCGTGATAGGAGGTGAATGTTTGAATGAATGAATACCAACTTATCCGCCCTTCTGCTGTTCTATTTCTTTTCACACTATGTATGTAGGAATAATTACTCTAATTTCTCTCAACTGAAGAGCTACTATAGGCCGAAACAAAATCTTCTTAGCAACATCAGTTAAAGAAATAGTGATATGGAATTAGTTATCAACTTTGAATAACTTTCACTTACTGAAAGAATACTTTTAATATTATTAAAACATATAAAAAAATCCAAGTGCATGTGCATGAAAACAGACTTGTAAATCAACTTCGGTCCTCTTATACTTAGTAAGCGGTACACTAATATTGAGGAACTAATTCGTGTATCGGAGGGAACCGGTTCGTAAATATACCGGGAATCGGTTCGCATGAACTGTTCGACGGTTCGAGAGGGGGGGTGGTCTAGGGAATCGCGCAACTATGGTGTCAGGTACGTGTCCAGTAGGGGTACGACTTCATGATAGAAGTACCCAGATAACATAGCTGGTAGCCCTAAGGTATAATATCAACTTCATCAGGAGTAAAATATCCATATGATGGAAGAGAGAAAAAAATGAACTTTAAATCATGTCCCTTGGCTTTCTTTCTCAACTATGAAGCCAACAATTTGTAGCTAAATAACTGAAACTTATCCACAGCTTCCACCTATTATACGTTAGTGCTTTTTGTAACCGGGACTTGCAACAATTATGCTACTTTCATACTCCCAAACATAATTACTAGATTTCTTCAAATTCCTAGAACTCACACATTAGACTA